CATCACCTGCCTGGCGAGCGAGTTCCTTTAGATGGCATCTAGGAGCATCAGCATAATTATGTTTGTGACGTTGAACCCTATATGTGGAGCAGTTTGCTAAAACAGGTCGTATCTGTATTTTGTAGAGTAGCTTTTCGTCTGAAATAAAAATTCTAGTTCTTGTGTAGCAGTGCAATCATGATGGATCTGTTTGTCATATGGTATCCTTATTTTGGTTGGAAAGAATGGTACCTTGTGATCATTTCATATAGTTGTAGACATTTCACCTGATAAGAGAGGAATGATTCTTCGTGATGAATGATAACCTGTTTGGATATATTTCTCTAAGATGTTAATTCATATAAGCTGTTTAAATTTTTTGGTGCCACAATAGGTGTCAGATTATTAGGTTTTCATCTCTTGGATCGTACGAATGAGAGCTCCTATGATGGTTGAAGAAAATCGCGCATGCCTATAGGGAGGATGGACGGAGGAGGTAAGGTATTGAACACTTGGAGATCTTGGAACTCGGTCGAGGTTTCACATGATATCTCTAGCAAGTTCATCTATCTTACGTTATTTTCAACGTCGACCATTTGGACAATGCTCCTGAAATATTATTTCGATTCTGTTCCTGAGAACTTTGAGATTTTGCCCTATTGAAATGTATGCGTGGTCTTCTTTCAGAGTACTCATTGTTATTGAAAGAGCTAGGTATTGTAAGCCTGGTATGACATCAGTTGTCGTAGAAAAAGTACAGTATTTTATTCGCACATCTTCTTAATGACATTCACTGTTCTTAGTACAGATTTGTTTTTCACGTATCTATCGTTAGTATTATTGATAAAGCCTTATTCAAGGTTGATGAAGGATAACGTAAAAATATAGGCTATTCACGCCGGTTGTTCTGCTCATTTTCCATTCATTTTGTTGATATATAACAATCGTTGAAACTTTGTATATTGTGATCTCCGCTTGGAATACTCTTTATTGTTATTAATAGGTGTAGGTATAATAATTTTTTGTCCGAAAATTTTGCATGATGGATATCGTGTTTGTTATATCTCAAGTAAAAAGAATGGTTTGTTTCCATCATTTTATATTCTTGTTGATCAATTTTTTTTAATAGTTGACATATCATGCGATGTTCACGTTCTGCTTGGGAGTAACGATTATTAGAATTTTCTGTGTATTATCTCTGAGATCTTCAGACTTTGCAAATAGGTATTATCGTTGAGGTGTCTTCGCAGTATCTGGAGTTATCTGATGTCGTAGAAAGAGTATAATATTCTATTCACGCATTTATCGTATGACGCCTATTGTTCTTAGTATTCAGTATTTTTAAGGAAGCACTATACTGGCTATTTTTATATTTTTCATTCATTTTATTGATATCTCATAATCATTGGAACTTTGTATATTGTAATATTCACTTAGCGTGCTCTGTGTTATTCACAGAAAATAGTACGACGTTTATATTATAGGAATATTAATTAAATTGAAGATTTGATAATATAGCTTTGAGTGATCAACCATTGATAACTATATTGATTTCTGATATCGTAGTCAATTAAGTCCGTGGAACTGTGTACGTGTGTTAGGTATTTTGATTCATCCGCCACTTTGCCTAGTAATAATAATATGTCCTAGTTACTATGTGAGTGTCTACAAACATGATCTATCACATATGGATATTGTATTCCAATATCGCAGACAAGGCAGTGTTGTGTATAAGTGTTGGATATTTTGATGTACCTTGTATATACCTACTATGTGTTAGGTTCTGCCTAATGTCAATTGCTGTATGGAAATTTTCTTAAATGATCCACTCTGTATATTTGTTTCTTTGTTCATATGAATCGTCGGTTGAATTTCACATGTTTCTCCTTTCAAAGAATGTATATCCACGTAAAATAAATCATTCCGAATAATAACATTTTTGTATGAGAGGTAACGTTCCATTTTTGTCCTATATTTTCCCTATTATTTCTATCCGAGAGGCCTTTGAGTTCTGAATTTTTCTATCACGTTATAGTGATAAACTCCAATTCTGAATTATAAGATCATGGCTGTGATATGGGATAAATATAATATATTATTTTACTTCAATAATTTCCTATGATAATGTTTTTCGGATATAATAATTATATCGCAGTAAACAGGAAATCGTTATCGGCTGGCATTGGTAGAATCATTCTTCTTTCATTCCAGTTCATTCAGTTTGATATAAGGAATATGTTTATGAAGTTATCGCCTATTTATTTTCGAATTTTTTGCATGGACAAATGAGGGGTGATTGGTTATATTTTTTGTTGAATCAATCATTCTTCATTTCTATTCATTAGTTCGATTTTCAACACTACCTGTTAGGAGCTGGGGTTTTTCCCAAGTGTCGGACTATACTCTGTTCAGTGTCATGTGCATAGTTTCAGTGAAAAGTGTCTGAAAATGGTGAATTTCTTCGCTGTTCAGGTATTTATATCCTATTTTTTCCTGTTTGCATACGGGGTAGCTCGAACTTCGTGCTTCTGAATATCTTCGGAATACTCTTGAATACCTCTGAAGACCTCTGAATACATCTGAATACTTTTGAATACCTCTGAAGACCTCTGAATACATCTGAATACTTCTGAAGGTATGATCTGAAGACCTCTGAATACATCTGAATACTTCCATAAGAAAAACGAGTTTTGCTAAAGAGTTGTTCGACATATTTCGACGTGGACGGTAAAAGGATGTTTTTACTGGGTATAGGTATGCTGAGTTCGCCTGATGTCTAATATTATCATTATAAGTATAGAGAATTTCAAGACTCTGGCTATGTTTCTGTATATAGAAACTGCTATTCGATCGTTTGTTATCTGCCTCGGTCATCTGCTGTCATGTCATCTATCATCCATTTGATTGAATTACATCGTGATTGGGTTCATGGTAGTTCGATAGTTTGTTTTTCATTATTATTTGAATGAGTGGTAATAAATTTTGAATTTTTTCTACCCCCTGTATATGTTTTTCAAATAATTCATTCGACTCGAGATTTTTGACTCATTCTGTATATGTTTCTTGAATATATATTCCACTCCACTTATTTGGCTCATCCTGTATATGTTTTTTCAGTTGACTTAGGTTTTTCTAATCGCTTTGTATATAATGATATTCGCGAAAAAGTACGTAGATCTGGGGAAAACTCTGCTTTGTTTTACGCAGTCACTTATGGGACGTAACTTGTAATTTCCGTAGAATCTAGGGAAAAATTAACTCTTTCGCTTTCTTGAAATTCGTAGGTTGTGCTAAACCTGGATATCTGTTTTCGATAAGCGCTGGAAGGTTACGTGTCATACGTAATATGTCATCTATCGAATAGTATAAATGTCATCTGTCATACTTTAGTTGTTGAATGTCTGAATAATTCGATTTTCATTCTACAACTTTACCACCCTGTATCTCAGAAATAAAGCCATTTCGGACTGAGTAAGTTCCTTTAATCCAATTGAATTTAATTGATCTGCCCTATACAAGTTTGTATTACTATTTGAAAGCCCTGTATATTCAACGGACTCTAGCGAGTCATCTGTCGTACGTTAATATGTTCGCAGGGTCCGCCTGTCAGTTCTTGCCTTCTTGTATATATTCTTATTGCTATCCAAACACCCCTGTATAATGATCGGAATCGTCAAATAGCGTCATCTGTCACACTTTTGCTGAGTTCACCTTTAACTTCTTGCCACGAGTGCCCTATATAAGTTTGTATTGCTATTATTGCTGTATATCAAACGGATACTCTATCATACGTATGTTCGCTGAGTCTACCCCTGAGACGCCCTGTATATATTTTCTCATCGCTATTGCTAACTCAAACACCCTGTATATATCATGTTATTGAACGAGTTTTGATAAAGAGTTGTTCGACATATTTCCATCACATAACTGAACGTTTACACACACACATTTCAAATGATATCTCATAAACCTTGAGACTTTGCATATAGAGAAACCATTATTTTCGAAGTGCCTGTTAAAAATCCTTCTCTTAGAGTACCTGCACCCTCTTCAACCCTCTGATACCCTAGAGTGGGGTAGTATTACTGCGATTCACCCTGTATATTTTTTCAGCTGATATACAACTCAAACACCCTGTATATAGCCATTATTGGGTGAAAAATTTAATTAAATGCGCACCGTTTTGCGTTTTTGGTCATCTGTCAAATGTCAAACGTCAGGCCACGAGTGCCCTATGCGAGTTTGTATTGCTATTATTGCTGTATATCAAACGGATACTCTGTCATACATATGTTTGCTACCTGTGAGACACCCTGTATATACTTTTGTATCGCTATTGCTAACTCAAACACCCTGTATATTGAATTAAATTATTAGATAGCCGACTTGCAGGTCGCCTAGTCACGTGTCATCAATCCTTTGTTATCTGTCATACGTCAGCTGTCTAATCCCTCAAAAGTGAATGAGTCGCCCTGTATATTTTTTTACTGTTATCCAACTCAAACGCCCTGTATATATCATGTTATAGCGGGTAGCCTTTATATGTAGGTCGGAGAGGTATAACGCCTTTTGGGTTCATCCTATATTTTTTTCCAAACTATTACCCAACTCAAACACCCTGTATATAGCCGTTGTTGAAAAATGGAATAAAATGCGCATCGTTATCTCTGGAACGGATCTCTCGCTTTGCTCGCCGATGATGACGACGCGGTGAGAGGTGGAGGGGGGGAGAGAGAAAAAAGTGGAGGGGGTGGCCCATACCGTACCCCTTCCTACTGTTGGGGTAATTTTGGGACAAACCCGTAATACTCCGAAGCGAGTAGATATGTCAGAAAATGTCAATTGAACTATAACTCAAAACCAACAAATTTCGTATCGGGTTATCGGGTTCAGCCACCTTGGAAAATCACCCGGTATACCTAGGGTTGGGGATTCAGATTAACTATCGATTTGCTCGTGTTTGATTCATCTGATGAGGCTTCTCTTGCATAATCTAGTGAAATCTCGAAATTCTTACTCACACTCATAAGATATTCGATGGTATCGAATCCCGTAACTTTTTCTCCACTTGTATATAGATGATTGTCGCATATCAAAGAACTGTCGGAGAAACGTTTCCATCTGAAATTCAATAACAAGTGATAGTAGATAAGCAATGGGGGATCTGTGCCGAATTTCCATGAAAGTGGGGAATATGTGTTGGAGAAGGCGTGGTCAAAGAGAAGCATGGTGGAAGGTCAGCATTAGGCGTAGTCACAGCAAAATGGAAAGGAGTATCGGGTAATAATCACTAGGCCAACTGAATTGATGTTTGTCGACGTTGTAGTGAATACTTTGCATCTGTTTCCCTGAAATTAGTGTACCCGATACTCACTTCCTCCCCTTGCTCCACCCTTGCCACGCCTTCTACAACATACAAGATGAATCTTTGGAAGAAGTCCAAGGAAGAAAAACGATATCGTGCTTTCCTTTCTTCCTTCAACATACAAGGTATCTCACAGAGGATGGAACATTGGATGAGAAGTATCTGGATGACATTTTCATCAATTTCATGTCATCTTCGAGAGGCTTTCATTCAACAGAAAATGTTTCATTCACAGTAAAACACCTCATATATATATACTAACATCGAGTCATGTTTCTTGGTGTCTGGAAACATGGCTAAGAGTGGGTAATATATATGACAAGTCCTAAATGCGTATGATTCATACTATCCAGTTTATTCTTGTGAATAGCATAGCTTGTTTCTTGGCATTAGCAGTTCAGATAGTAGTCAGTGTTGTAGTGCTTGGAATATCTCACAAATGTACAGGGTGGCCAACTAAGAATCCAGAGTTCGATATCTCTGTTGTCTTGAGAGATACAAAAAAAAGTTTTGCATTCAAATTGAAGTGATAACCGAGCTTCACATTTCAAAATTTCTTTGAAATACACAGGGTGTTCCGTAAGGTCACAGCACATCAAAGCTATGTTTTTTTCATCGGAACACCCTATATTTTATTTCATTTTTGAATTCTCCCTGACGATCTGATTTCAACGACGTATCATACTTAGGGTCTAGCAGTGAAAGTTACTGACATATAGGATGTGCAAAATCGAGATTTTCCAAGTTCAGGATTTTTTCTGTCGAAACTGTTTATTATTCGGCAAAACGGTTTACATGTCCCTATCTCAACTTTTCACTCACTATCAATTGGTGTTCAATTGACATTTAATTGAAACAAATTATAAATTTAGATTTTTTGACCACCTTGTATCAATTTCAATTGAACACCAATTGATAGTGAGTGAAAAGTTGAGATAGGGACATGTAAACCGTTTTGACGAATAATGAACAGTTTCGACAGAAAAAAATCCTGAACTTGGAAAATCTCGATTTTGCACACCCTATATGTCAGTAACTTTCACTGCTAGACCCTAACTATGATGGGTCGTTGAAATCAGATCTTCAGGGAGAATTCAAAAATGAAGTAAAATATAGGGTGTTCCAATGAAAAAAACATAGCTTTGATGTGCTGTGACCTTACGGAACACCCTGTGCATTTCAAAGAAATTTTGAAATGTGAAGCTCGGTTATTACTTCAATTTTGATCCATGAATTTTTTTTGTATCTCTCAAGACAACAGAGAAATCGAACTCTGGAGTCTTAGTTGGCCACCCTGTACAGCTCTTTTCAGAGAGTGATTGAACGCTAAATATAAAATGTCGATTCTGAATATTGAAAATGATTTTCGAATGGAAAAGAAAATCGATTTTGTGATTTGTTAATGTACAATTATTCGAATGTTTCGTAACAGACTGCCAAAATTCTGAAGATAATGATTTGACTGTCAGTTCGAATCTGATATTTCACAAATTGAACGGGAATATTGTAAGATGTGGGTATGTTTTCAGAACTAACTATTTAATCAGTAGATAGTTGAAATACTAGGCAATGACGTTTTGTGTGTACACTTGAATGAAGACTTATATAGTCCGTCAATTTGAAGAGAACGTTTATTGAACACATTTAATTTCGAAGTACCTTGGCGATTGAAAAACCCAAGTAGGCTTGCTTCAGTCAAGCACACATGTCAAAAGTTTAGATAGCACTAATTAGATACTTATTGCACTAAGTTATTTTCAAATTAGCACCTTGAAATGGAAGCATAAACTATTGCGGAAATGGCTGATATGCATTTATTTTATGGCAAAGCCAATGGTAATACACGTGAAGCGCGAAGACTCTACCAAGAATCATTCCCAAACCGGACAATACCTTGCAAAAAAACTTTCATTGATCTGCACCAACGTCTTTGTGAAAAAGGATCTTTCAAACCGGAAAAAAGAAACTGTGGTCAACATCGCACTACTCGGAGTGCTGAAACGAAGGAGTGAGTATTGGATTTGATTGCAGGAGACTCAGGAATTAGTGTTAGGAGAATGTCTACCCAAGGAGGTATCTCAAAAAGTTCAGTATGGAGAATTATTCATGAACAATTACTCTACCCTTACCATGTGCAGAGAGTTCAAGCTCTCAGACCTCAAGATCTAGTGCTTAGGTTACAATACTGCAATTGGTTGTGTGATAATTGTCTTCAAAACCCAACTTGTCTGGAAAGTATCCGTTTTTCCGATGAGGCAGGGTTCACCAGAGATGGAGTATTCAATTTTCACAATACTCATATTTTGGCTGATGAGAACCCACACACAGTTTTTGAATCGAATCACCAAGAACAATTTTCTATCAATATATGGGCAGGAATAATCGATAACTATTTGATAGGTCCCTACGTACTGCCTAATCGGCTAAATGGTGACATGTTCTGAGAGATCTCATGGATGATGTACCATATTCACTGAGGTCTGAGATGTGGTTTATGCACGATGGGGCACCGCCATATTTTTGTCGCGCAGTCAGAGAATATTTGATTAATAATTATCCGAAGAGATCGATTGGACGTGAAGGACCTTCTCGTTCACCAGACCTGAATCCCCTCGATTTTTTTTATGGGGTTATTTGAAATCTTTGGTATATGAAGTTCCTGTCGTGAACGTTGCGGAACTCGAGCAGCGTGTGAGGAATGCTTGCGATTTGATAAGAAATAAGCCTGGTATTTTCCAAAGAGTGAGGGATAATATGAGTAAACGAGCAGGAATCTGCATTGAAATGAATGGAGGACACTTTCAACATCTATTATGAAATCAATTATTTTGAGCGTTTTTTCTTATGATAGAAAAAGTGGAGTTTGATATTAAAACTTTCTATTCCTGTTAGTTTTGCTTTATTTGGGATAACTGTGATCTTGATTTGTTGAGAAAGTATCTGCAACAAAATTGTCGAAATTTGACAGACTTATTGATTCCTGACGTGAATTCTTTCGTATATCAAAAAGAAAAAATAACAGTTTTCTTGAAATCGGTTCGTTTTACAGCATTCCAACAAAAGTACCTTTTTCATGAAGCAGTATTTGGAAAATCATATTCTGGTACTAGCAAGAAGATACAGTGTGAGACAAAAAAATAGGAACATTTTTATAGCACGGGTCGAAAGTTTCGCACCTCCCTGTATATTATATCATTTTTTCCATTCCTTCAAACGATTTATGAGATCAAATTAATTATTGGTACAAAATTTCATGATTCTAGGATCAATGGTAACATAGATAATTGAAGAAAACTGCATTTAGGGACCAACCTTCAAAGGGCTGTAGCGCCCTTAGGAAGAGCATTTTCGGACACCTGTTGATAGGAACATTTTTTCTCATTTTTATCTGTAGATCGACCTCCCGGAGTATACGAATGTTATTCTGGGACACCCTGTATATATTATGCATTCAATGATACGCTTCTGTTCAGGTTTTCGTGAAAAATAGGTCTGCACTCGCTCAATGAATAAGGGGTACATGAAAACTCATTTCATCTCTTGAACAAGGATCGTATGTCTCATACTATTTCATCATATGTTCCAGGGCATGACGAGTATGTCTTCACCATTTAAATACCTATTCTAGAAACAAATACGCAAGGAGGGTTAACTTCGCACGCAAATATTGTTAGACGGACAACGCGAAGCAGGCGCACACGTGTTAGGAATCACATTTTTTCCACGAGCTTCATATCATAGTAGAGCAGTTGGAGGAATTGGGGTGGAAATAATTTCCACAAAAACGCAGTTTTCATTTTTTGAAGCCTCATTCGACCCCTTACACTATATTAAAAAATATAGATGCATTCTTTCATGCAAAAATGTTTTAATGCAACTTTTCATATTTCAGGTGCCCAAACCGAAATGATTGTTTCACAACTCAACACATGTTCCGCTACCTATGTTAGGATCTTCAGGATAAGATTCAAACGAATTCCATAATCTTCCTTAAAATGATAATATGGTTAGCAGATCTCAAAATTCGTGTCGAGGTGTGAAACAATCATTTTGGTATGTGATTGAAACTATTCTCTGTGATCGTGAATGAAAGGTTCCATTATTTGATATATCAGTCCAGGTATATCTGAATATAGTGAATTAAAAGCAGCGATGGAAGATAACAAATGTTTGTTATTTTCGTTAAGTTCTGATGATATAGTTCGAATTGTGTTAAATTGACTGCTAAAGGTGTTCAAGGAATTATAAGTGCTAGCAAGTAGGAGCAAGACAAAATAATTGAACTCTTGGAACCAGTGCCTATTCATCCTCTAATTGTTCACGTCTAATGTCGTCGTTTGTACGTAAATCCGAACAAGATGAAGAATGATCTCAGGTTTAAATCAGATCCTGATAGAGAAACATCAACTAGTAGCAGCAGCAGCAGCAGCAGCAATAGAGCTTTGTGATCTGAGCTGCCGACATTCGCGTTCGAAGATAATTGCTTGTTTTGTGGCCAATTCATCAAGGAAACTGAGAAAATAATGAAATCTGCAATTTTACCACTACGAACTTTCGCGTTTCGACAAACTATTATTGATGTGTGTGATGCAAGAAACGATTTTTGATCATCAAATGTCCTTGTACGTCTTCTTTTCGTTATCGATACTTGCATGCCAGCAGCAGATGCTCTGTATAATCAGAAATGTAGTTTGAATTCTGGAAAAGACTACTCTATTCCTAAGAAACATCGACATGATATTCTCAATAAACAGAC